TACCACGTCGCAGTTCTCGCGCCTTTCTCACCTAGGGCAGGGGAAAGAAGTAGTTTGCTGAGTGTACTGGGGTCCACCAAGCCCCCATGGCTTCTTTTAATCCCATTGAATCATCTGCTTGGGGTCAACCAACTGGAGCACCATTCCCTAGACAGGGACATTCACCGTAAACGTCTTACGGGTCCAAGGGCAGGCGCTTCCAGGCCATTTAGACAAGAGCAGCCATTGAGGGTGTAGTTCTCTGTGACCTGCCCAGGTCCTGGTCTTGCTGAGGAGGGGGGCTCCCCTTCAGGCACGACCCACCTGTGTCCATGGGCTGGAGGTCAGGCCTGTGCTCCTCACCACGCATCTGTCTCGTAGGTGGACAGCGCCATGTCCCTGATCCAGGCAGCCAAGAACTTGATGAATGCTGTGGTCCAGACCGTGAAGGCGTCTTATGTCGCCTCTACCAAATACCAAAAGTCGCAGGGTATGGCTTCCCTCAACCTTCCTGCTGTGTCATGGAAGATGAAGGCACCAGAGAAAAAGCCCTTGGTGAAGAGAGAGAAACAGGATGAGACACAGACCAAGATTAAACGGGCATCTCAGAAGAAGCACGTGAACCCGGTGCAGGCCCTCAGCGAGTTCAAAGCCATGGACAGCATCTAGGTCTGCCCAGGCCAGTGGCCCCCACCCCTGGGGGCTCCTGAAGATCAATCACTGTTCATCACTCACATGAATTTGATAAATACAACACTGATGTTAGATTCCACAGGGAAACGGGCAGACTGTGAACCAGTCCAGGTGGTGAATTTTCCAAGGACGTACTAGTGTTTAAGTTGATTAAAAATGCTTTTAGAATGCATTTAGCTATATTTTTTTATCGCTTAAATAAAAGAAGTAAAAATTCCATAACCAAAGAGAATCGCACATGAAGTTGTTAGTAATGCTCTGACCAAGCCCAGATGCCCATTCTCTTAGTGGCAGTATTGGGGTTTGAGAAGGGAATTTGGCTCAACCTCAGTTAAGAGGGTGCAGTCCCGACAGCTTGACTGCTTTTAAATGACCAAAGATGACCTTCGGTAAGCAACCTGGGCATCTTAGGAAGCAGTCCGTGGAGAAGGAATCTTCTCAGAAAGGTCTTTAGAGGGATGAACTCAGTAAAACATAATGTATCATGAAGAAAACTGATTACTCTCTTTATGACATGAAATGAGAATTTTAATGCATGGTTACAATTACTAATTACTAATGTATGCTGCTGCAGAACATTAATAAAGTTGCTTTTTTGCAGGCTAGAGGTCGTGATGCCATAATCAGAACACACCTTTCTCCCCTTTCTTCCAGCTTCAAATGCAAATTCATCATCGGCTCAGTTCTAATAATTGGAATGTTTGCCGCCTTGGGCTTGCAGCAGAAAAGCCTGACAAAATAGTGTTTGCTTAGGCGATAATTTAGACTTTACCTTATTTGTGATTACTATAGTGATTACTTTAACTACAAGGCATAATTTACTATCTATCTTATTTAAATTTTATGAATTTGAATGTTTTTTACACTAACTTTTCCAAATAAAGTCCACTATGAAACCATGACATCTGAGAGGCTAAAGTTGTCTTCTCTGCCTTCAAGCCATGGATTTGCCCACAGCATCTGTGGTGCTCTGGGCCCTCCCAGTGTCCCCGTCTCCCAGGATGGTGTTGCCCAGGGAGGGAGACTGTGACTGTGGCTCTAGGCTGCATGGCTTGTGCCAGCCCGTCGGGGTGGGCCATGCCCCTGCCCTATTGAATGCCCCACCCTGCACCTCCACCTTGGGAATTCATATGTCCATTCTTCTTCAAGGTTCAAGTCACAACCTCAATGTCTTCATTATAGATATCCCCTCTTCTGCGTCCTTCCTGTCAGCACACACCAGGCTATGACAATAGTGGCATTCGAGATAAAAACCTCCTTAACCTGATGATCCTTCCCATCTGGCATCCCCATCCTAAGAAAGGTTCCCTAAAGGTTGCTGTTGTTAGTTTATCTCTTTCCTCACTTCCATCCCCTCTGCCATTGCTCCCTCCACCCCCCCTCATCAAGGTGACTGCCTTCCACGCTGCCAGCCACACTGGCTCTTTTGAGACCTCACCATGCAAGTGACCCAGGGAGGAGGACTACTAAACACTGTTCACTCGGCTTCTGAGAGCCCCGCTCAGGTTCTGCCTTTCTTACTGGGGGCTCCGTCTCCTTTCCTGGGTCTGAGGTTGTGTCTGTCCCCTCCCTCCCGAGCTCAGCCAGACTCCCGGCTGTGAAGACATCCAAATGCCAACTTCACCCCAGAGCCTGGCTTTTATAACTGACTGCTACACTATGCTCTGCTTGGATGTCTAATGAATCTCTCAGACTTGACCTGTCCAAACTGCGTTTGCCCTCTATACTCGCCAACGCCCACCCCCACACCCTCCCTACTGTTTTCCCCACAGCTACTGCCAGTCCCCTCCTTCCTCTCGCCGAATGCCTAAAAACCAAAATTTTGAGGCGGTTCTGTAGCACAATGGACTTCTAGTGATGAGAAATCAAAGTTCTGGTCTTTAAAACGTATGTACAGTTTAACTTACCGTCTGGCCTAAGCCATCATGCTGTTAGTTACTGCTGTGTAGCAAGTTGCAGCTAAAGTGACCTCACACGACTCCTGAAGGTCAGGAATCTGCGAGCAGCTCAGCTGGATGGTTCTGACTCGGGGTCTGATGAAGTTGTGGCCAAGATGCCACCTAAGGCTGACGTCTCTGAAGGCTGGACTTGGTGAAGATTTTCTTCCAGGCTCACTCGCATGGCTAAGGCAGAAGGCCTCGGTTCCACGCCACATGGCCTGTCCCACAGAGTAGCTCTCAGCGTGGTAGCTGGCTTCCCCAGAGCAGCGATCTGCGAGCTACAGCCAGATAGATGGAAGCCACAGTGTTCCCTTAAAACCTGACATGGAGAGTGATTCCCTGTCATGTCTCTTTGTGGCTAAATCAAGGGTGGTCCAACGTGGCAGGAGATGATGAGGCTGCCAGTACCTGGAGGTGGGTGGCCATAGCCAGCATCCCTGCCAGTGTCCCCCACAGCCAAGTAGTCCCTGTAAGGGGTCAGCTCAGGTCATTCCGAGCTCAGACCTTCCAGTGGCTTCCATGTCCCTCAGTAAAAGTCGAAGTCCTAAAGGCCACTTGCCTGCCCTGGCCTCTTCTCTCACCATCCTCTGCCATCCTGCTTCTGTCCCTGAAGTTCTTGAATATGCCAAGCACATCCTGCCTCGGCCTTCATACCTGTGGTTCCTGTCCTGAAATTCACTTCCCCCGGGACCCCTGTGCAGGCTTTAGCGTTTCCTTCCAGTCTCAAATCTCCTTATCAAAAAGGACTCTGACAGGCCAAGTGCGGTGACTCATGCCTTAGTCCCAGCGCTTGGGAAGGCCAAGGTGGGAGGATGGCTTGAGCCCAGAAGTTCAGGACCTGCCTGGGCAACATGGGAAAACTTCCTCTCTTTAAAAAAAAAGTCCATTTATGTATCGCTTAAAGTCTTCCCTTGAGCCACAGTGGGAAAGCAGCCCACACCATCCCTTGCTCCCTGGGCCGCTCCACCCTCTGCCAAGGCTTGCAGCACTCCAGCACCAGCCCTCACCAGACTGACCTTTGGGGAACAGCCAGTGTTGGCTCTGCTTATCCTCATCAGCAGCAAAGGGCCTGGCACGTGCTTAACAGAAAGTAGTTGAACAATGCGGACCATTATTGATTTAAACCAACCCATCAAGAGGTGTTGGAGGGCAAAAAGCTGGCAAATGAGGAGGCGCCAGGGTCCTGGAGAGCTAAGGCTGAGGCTCAGAGGTCCTGCCCTGAAATCCTGACCCTCTCACCTCACAGACGGTGACAGAGCGGGACCAAGCAGGAGAGGACCTGCCTGTGCATGTGGGGCCTGCAGGGTCTTCCTGCAGCCTCCAGTGTGCTCAGTGCTGCCGCTCTGCCATCTGCAAAGGGGACCACCTCCCCTCTGCATCCTGGCACTTCTCATTCAGGATGGACCCCTGCTCTCAGCAGTCTTGTTGACACCTCTTTAGATGAGACCTGGGGGATTAGAGCCAAGGACCAAAGCCGATTCCCAGATCCCTCCACCCCAGTGTGCCTCCCCAGCCTGACCCCTCAGACCTGCTCCCTACTCCTGCACTCAGTGAGCCCACAGCCCCAGCTCTCCTGCAGCTGGCAGTACCCATGCCTCTCCCAGGATGGCTCTGCCCTGGTCCCTGCCCCTCAGCACCCTGCAGGGGTTCCTGTGTCCTCCCCCCACCCATACCACACCTTCACAGGCCACACAGTTCACTCTCGGCCTTCATCCTCACAGCTTCCAGCTCCAGCCTGTTCTACCCTCCTCCCAGGACAAGGCCACCTCTCCATAAAGCCAGAGAGAAGGAGCTGCCATGTGCTGGGCGCTCAGAGCCTACATCCAGCCTTTACCCTCGTCAGTTACCCCATTTCGTCTGTGCAACCGAAGAGGTGTCAGTCCTGTTGCTGCACCTCCGGCTGCACAGCTAAAGTGACTTGAGGAGGTGAGGCCACATGGCGGCAAGTGGCCTGGCAAATGGCTTCAGCTTTGAGACGCACTTCCTCAAGGGCCCCAGCTTTGGGCCATCCCTCCTGGGCCCTCTGAGTAACAGTGATGCCGATGGCCACTCCCTCCCCGGTCACAGCTTCTCCAGAGTCCTACGGTTCCCTGCCCTTCACCAGCGCGTGTCCCTTATCTCCTTTACCAGTTCCTCCTCGTGGTCCCTGACACTGAGGTGGCTCCAGGGCTCCCACTTGGGTCCTCCTCTCCATGTCCAGTGATGCCCAGCAGAGGCTTGCCGGTCAATTTTGAGCCACCGGCTCTCCAGGGCTGGGCTGGGGAGGATGCAAACACATGCACATCTGTGCATTTGGAAAACACCGGACCGCTGTAAAGGAATTGCAGCACACCACCGTGCACAAAAGAAAGTCACACAGGACTCTTAACTGGGAATCCAGCCAGCCAGTTGATTCCCACAGAAGGCTTTCATTGACTTTTGCGAGACTCTTGCATCCGTGGCCAACCTGGGGTTGTAACTGAACAAACGAGACTAGTTCCAACAGGAATGCTGCTTGATAGTTGTGTTTACCTTAAGGAGTAAATGAAAGTGAAACAAAAAAAACTTATGTTGGACTGTCCCTGTCAGTGAGAGGCTTCTTTGCCGAGTCAGATAATAGTTGTTAAATACTTTAAGACAATTTCTTCCTTTTTTTTGTGCTGATGATGTAACTGCTATGGATAACACACATTTACATTTAATTGGCATTATTAACATTTTCTTCATCACTTTAAGTCTTGACAATCAACAAAACAAATTCAGCTTTCATCTGTCGTGTTTCCCAATTTCCATGGTTAAATGCTCCCACCACATCAGATTTCAAGCCGCAGGCTGGCAGTGCTAAACGCAGAGTTGGGCAGAGAAGCAGCCTTCTACCACACAGACACGAGGACTCACTGCGGTAAAATGTCATTAGGATTACAACTTAGGTGAAAATTTACACGCAGTAAAATCCACTCTTTCTGGTGTGTAATTCCATGAGTTTTGACAAACGCCGCCCTGTAACCACCAACACGAGGAAGACAGAACAGTTCCATAACCCCTCCCCAAGGATTCCCTGGCGCTATCCCAGTACCATCAAAACATTCCCCAATCCTAAGTCCTGGCAACACTCTTCCCTATCATTTTGCCTTTTCTAGAATGTACATAAGTGGAATAATACAGTATGCGGCCTTTTGGGTCTGGCTGCATATGGCGAGGTGCCTTTCAATAAGCACGGCTTCAGAATGCATGCAGATTGCTGTGTGCCTCACTGGCTGGCTCCTTCCAGCCAGTTCTGCGTCATGTTCCGTGTAAGGGTGCATCCCCCCAGATAAGAGACATTTGAGTTGTTTCCAGTTTTTTATATTTTTACAAATAAAGCTGATATAAACATTGACACACAGGTTTTCACATGAACACTGACATTTGCTTATCTTTTTTTTTTGAGACGGAGTCTCGCTCTGTTGCCCAGGCTGGAGGAGTGCAGTGGCGCAATCTCTGCTCACTGCAACCTCTGCCTCCCGGGTTCAAGTGATTCTCCTGCCTCAGCTTCCCAAGTAGCTGGGACTATACCTACTGGCTATATTAGCACCAGGCCTGGCTAATTTTTTTTTATGTTTAGTAGAGACAGGGTTTTTCCATGTTGGCCAGGCTGGTCTGGAGTTCCTGACCTCAGGTGGTCCACCCATCTCAGCCTCCCAAAGTGTTAGGATTATAGGCATGAGCCACGGCACACAGCCTGGACAGCCATATTTTTAAAAATGAGCCTTGACCTATTTATGGTACCTCACATCTTAAACAAAATTTAACTCAAGATCAATCAGAAACCTAAATGTAAAATTATAAAACTCTTAGAAGAAGACAGAAATGATTGTGACTTTGGAGTTAGGCAGAGTTCTTAGAGATAACACCAAAGTCACCATTCATAAAATTAAAAAATTGATAAATTGGACTTCATTAAAGTAAAAACCTCTGTGAAAGAAACTGTTATGAGAATAAAAAGACAAGTTACAAACAGGGAAAGCATATTTGTAAATCACACATCTGACAAATGACTTGTATCCAGAAAATGAACAGAACTCTCAAAATTCTTAAGAAAACAGTCAACCCAACAAAAAATTAGGCAAAAAGATTCGATGCCTGTAGTCCCTGCTATTTGGGAGGCTGAGGCAGGAGGATTACTTGAGCCTGGGGGACAGAGGTTGCAGTGAGCCGAGATCGCACCGCTGTACTCCAGCCTGGATGGCAGAGCAAGACTCTCAAAAAAAAAAAAAAAAAAAAAAAAAAAGAGGCTGTCCAACAACTGCAGCACCATTTATTGAAAAGGCTACCTTTTCTCCACTGAATTGCTTTTGCATGTTTGTCAAAAATCAATTAACTATCTGTGTGGGTCTGGCCAATGTCACACTGTGTTCTTACAGCTTTGTATCTTAAAATCAGCGAGTGTCAGTCCTCCAACTTTGTCCTTTTTTTTTTTTTTTTTTTTTTGAGTTGGAGTTTTGCTTGTTGCCCGGGCTGGAGTGCAATGGCACAATCTCAGCTCCCGGCAACCTCCCAGGTTCAAGGAATTCTCCTGCCTCAGCCTCCTGAGTAGCTGGGATTACAGGTGTGCACCACCACGCCTGGCTAATTTTTGTGTTTTTAGTAGAGACGGGGTTTCACCATGTTGGCCAGACTGGTCTTGAAGTCCGGTTCTCAGGTGATCTGTCTGCCTCGGCCTCCCAAAGTGCTGGGATTATAGGCGTGAGCCACCACGCCCAACCCTCGTTCTTCTTTATCAAAACTGTTTTAGCTATTCTAGTTCCTTTGTATTTGCATATAAATTTTCAAATGAGACTACTGGGATTGCATTGAATCTAGAGATCAGTTTTGTGGGAACCAACATCATTAGCAATGTTGAGTCTTCCAACTCATGAACTCAGTACAATTCACTTATTTAGACCATCTGTGATTTATTTCATCAGGATTTCATAATTTTCAGCATAAAATCCTGTACATATTTCATTTTTTCAGTTGATTTTTGTACACTGACCTTGTATCCTATGACTTTGCTAAAGTCATTAGCTAGCTCTGTGAGATTTTTTTTTCAATTAGACAACTTTTACTAAATGAGAAAACTACATTTAAAATGTGTTTTAAAACAAAATGGAATTAGAAAAAAAGACATATGCATTTTAAAGAACTTTTGCACTGTGCTGAAAATGAAGTATCTCTTGCAGTAAGTAATACAATGCGCCAATTCATAAAATGTAACTTAACAGGTTTCTCAATTTGACATTTTCAAAGACGATATTAAAGTCAAAAATGTCACATCTATGGTAGCACGTATAGAAGGGCCTTATAGATATGATGTCCATCCCTATGCAGCTTACAAATTTGACAATGCTCAATAAAAGCTTTTAGAAACACATCCAATAGTGTCACAGCCAAAGAATCACAAATCTGTGTCCTGTAAGTTCTCTCCTTCTAAGATCTTTATGTTAACTTTTCTACTCGTTGCCATTTGTTAATACTAACCCTTAAAAAGAGAATAGGAAAAGAAAGGCTGCAATAAACTCTTGATCAGGTACAGAAATCATTGCTACTATAGTTCACTACAAAGCATGTCTGTACAATATCATATGACCTTTGATTATGAAAAATCAGAATAAAAATCTTCAGTGACAAAAGCCTTACAATCGTATACAACATTCACATAGCAATATTAGACAGTTAAGCACCCAGTACCCATAGTTGACAAAATGTCCCACTGACCAGCATTCTTATTTAAATACATCCTTCGTATAGAGGGAGAAAAAAGAGTGTCAGCTTTCCAAGGCTTGTCAAAAAAGGATTCTCATGTACTGTGGATCTAAAAACAAACAACAACAACAGTAACAAAAACTCAAAAAAACAAAACCAATGTAGGTGAAGGTGTTACCAGGAAGTTAAGCATGCCAAAACGTGTCGTGCGAATTAAAACCTAACGCCAAGGTACCACATAATCACATTACCAACTAGTTGGGTAATACTATATGAGCCTTATCTTAAAGTTAAATGAAATGCTACTGCACAATAGAGCATCAATAAGTTAAAAATTAGAGTGCACAAATCCAAATCAGTGGCAATTTCAGTATAAAGCAAAATACTCACTATCAGCTGTAAAGTTTGCCCTGTCAAACTGTATGATTAAAATCACTGGACTGGATAGTGTATTTTTTTTTAAAAAACAATCAATCTCTAAAATTCCTTTTTAATGTAATGAGGCATAAGTTTTCTTAGTAAGATTAAACAGGTATTCTAAGTAGATAAGCAAGGGAAAGGAATAGTTGGTGAATGTCTTTAAAGCTCTTCCCATATTTCACTTTTAAAAATGTTTACAAAAAAAAATTAGAAATATTTGCCATTATTCTAGTGAAAAAAGCAAACAAACAAACAAGCTCAAAATAATTAACCAACCAAGCAACACTAAAACCACATTACACAGATGGATCATCATGCTTTCATCTGGTTTAACTATCACATCTAGTTTAACTGGGATGCCTTTCAACTTTAAAAATTGTGATAACGTGAAGATGTAACTTTAGCGGATAATTTTGAATTTGGATTTAACTTTGTTGACTATAACAGAGTATACTTATTACAATACAGTGTAGCACATCTTTCTATTAGAAAAAAATTTAAGATCCTTTACCTGTCTCCTTAAGTTAAAGGTGTGACATCATAAAGGGTGTCAAATGGCTGGATGGTTTTACAGTGCACACTTACATATTATGAAGTATGTCCTTAACAAATCTGATGGTTTCTTTACAGAATTCCTTTCTTCACCTTTTCTTTGGTGGATTAGCTGTTCGAGGTGGAGTGACAGGACGTGCTGAATTCAGTCCACCATACTGGTAGTTAGCGTTCTTTTCAGACGGTTTCAATATCTTCAGCAGCCGGGTGATGAGGCTGTCCACGTTCAACTCCCTGTCTGCCATCTTGTCGGCACAGACTCTCCTTCGAGATTTTTTTTTAGAGATGTCATGGGATTTTCTCATTGATAATCATCTGTGAATAGGGACAATTCTATTTCTTCTTTTCCAATCTGTATGCTTTATATCTCATTTTCTTGTCTCAAGGCACAGCCCAGAACTTGCAGTACAATGTTGAAAAGGAGTCAGGAGAGTAGGCATTCTGCCTATTTTCCAGTCTAAGGGGGAAGGAATTCAGGCTTTCACCCTTAAGTTTGATGTTAGATGTAGGTTTTTATGTGGTTTCTGTTCATGAGGTTAAGGAAATTCCCTTCTGTTCCAATTTGCTGAGAGTTTTGATTATGGGTACTTAATATTTGTCTCTATCTGTTGAGATGATGGTGTCACCTTTTCTTCTTTAGTCTGTTCATATGTTGAACTGATTGAACTAGCCTTGCATTCCCAGGGTAAACTTCATTTGGTTATATTATCCTTTTATATATTGTCACATTCAATTTGCCAGTATTTTGTTGAGGATTTTTGTAGAGACTTTAGAAAAATCTAAAGTCTTTACCACAGCCTCCAGGATTTCCATCACCATTACTTCCCTAATCTTGTTGATTACAAGGTATATTGGCCTGTAGGGTATTTTTCGTGAAATATCTTTGTCTAGTATTGGTGTCTGGGCAATGCTGACCTCATGAAATAAGTTTGGAAATGTTTTATTCTATTTTTTGGAGGAGATTGCATACAATTGGTATTAGTTGGTAGAATTTGCTAGTGAAACCATATGGGTCTGGAGTTTTTCTTTCTGGAAAGGTTTTAAACAATTTCTTTAGTAGGTTTAGGGCTACACAGGTTATCTATTCTTGAATGGGCTTTAATAGCTTGCATTAGGCAAAAGATGGCTCTCCGAGATGCCCATACCCTAATTCCTGGGCCTGCGCATGTGTTATGTAACATGGCAGAAAGCAAATCCAGGTTGCAGATGGCACTGAGGTTGCTAACTGGCTGATTTTAAGATGGGAAGATTATCCTGGATCTTCCGGGTGGGCCCAGTGTAATCACAGGGTCCTTAAAAGTGGAAGATAGAGGCAGAAGAGGAGGTCAGAATGGTGCAATATGAGAAGATCTTAACTTGCTTTTTTGTCTTTGAAGACAGAGGAAGGCCTAGGTGCCAAGGAGTACAGGTAGCCTCTCGCAGCTGGGAAGGCAAGGGATGGACCTCACCCAGAAAGGAGTACAGCCCTGCAACACCCGGATTTTTGCCCTGTGAGAACCGGGCAGACTTCTAACCTACAGAACTGTAAGAAAATTGACTGGGGATGATTTAAGGCACCAAGCTCATGGTAATTTGTTAGCATAGGTGGAGGCCGAGTTTCTCAAGGAATTGGTCCATGATTTCTTCTAAGTTGTCAAATTGATTTTACAATGTATTTATTTAGAGTTGTTCATAATACTCACTCCTCATCATCCTTTGAGCCTACAGTGACACCCACTTTTCACCCATGAGGCTGCTGGTTTGTGTCTTCTCTTTTTCAAAGGACCATCTTTTAATTTCATTGATTTTTCTCTAGTTTTACTGTCTTCAATTTTATTGGTTTCCATTCTTTATTATTTCCTTTTCTTCTGCTTCCTTTTGTTTTAATTTGCTCTTCTTTTACTAGTTTTTAAAAATTACCTTTGCTTTCTTGGTGTTACTTAATTGTATGCTTGCATCATTTAATTTTAATAATGGCTGTGTTTAACAACCAGCCACCACACCCCGAACCCCTCGGCTCCCTTGTGTGAGGTTCCCAGGCCCAGTCAGTCCCCACCAGCCTCTCCCTCAGCTCCAGGCTGTCCGCTGCTGCCAGGCAGCACCCCCACTTGAATGTTCTGCTGATGGCTCAATATAAACGTAAACAAATGGGGTCCACTGCAGAGCCCCTTCGCTCCCCTACTCTCGGAGCCTCCCACTCTGGTGCCACGTGAAGCTGCCTCCTGGACTCCTCCCTACACCCCGCACCCCGGCAACGGAGCCCCTGAGCTTGGCCTCAGTGCCATCTGGAGTCCGCACACTTCCCACAGTCCTGTCTTCACCCTGCCCACATCCTTGTCTCCCCGCCCCCTGGATGCTGCCCTGGGCTCCCTGCCCCCTCCTAGCCCCCGTGTCTTCTATTCTCACTGAAACAGTAAGAAAAGGTGAGGCTGGGCACAAGGGCTCACACCTGTAATCCCAGCACTTTGGGAGGCTGAGGCAGCGGGATCACTTGAGCCCAGGAGCTCAAGACAAGCCTGGAAAACACAGGGAGACCTCAACAAAAAATTTTAAAAATTAGCCAGGCGTGGCGACGCGCATCTGTGGTCCCAGCTACTTTGGAAGCTGAGGTGGGAGGATCACTTGAGCCTAGGAGGTCGAGGCTGCAGTGAGCTGTGGTCACACTATTGCATTCTAACCTGGGTGACAAAATGAGACTGCCTCAAAAAAAAAAAAAAAAAAAAAAAAAAAAGGGGGTTTACATCAGGTCTCTCCTTTGCACACAACTCTTAACAGCCCCACCTCAAAGAAAAAACTCAGGTCCCTTCCACAGCCTCCCCAGGCAGCCCTCTCCCTTGCCAACTCCCCCCTCCCATGGGTTCTGCCAGCTCTAGGCCTGGCGCTCGTGGCCCTTCCTGAAGCGTTTCGGCCTGTTCCTGCAGGATCTCTGCCTCTGCTATCCCTTGTCTACAAAGCACCCCCGTGGCTCATGCTCCTGTGTCTGGCTCCTCCTCAGAGGCCTTCCCCGCCACTGAGGGGAAACAGCAGCCCCCGCCCCTCTTTCCTCCTCACTGGGCTCGGTCTTCCCAGCCTGGCCCTCCCCTGGTGCCTGCGTATTTGCCATGATGGAGCCCTTTTCCCTCCAGTCCTCACACTTACTGCCCTAGAGCAGTGCCTGGCTCCTAGAACCCAACCAGATTTGCTGAACAAATGAATGAAAGAGCAGCAGCCCAGAGACCACCTCAATGCTTCCCCTACTTCCGCTCTGCTAGGATGAGGGCACAGCCCTGTACAGGGCTGACAAGCTGCCGGAGGACCCCACGAAGGGGACCCCTCCTGTCCCCTGACCCACACAGCTCCACCTTGGGCCACTCAACCCCTCAGCCCACCACTTCGTCCGGCAACACTGCCCCTCTCTGGCCTTCCTGCATCTTCCCGAGGCTGGGGCCCTCGCCCTGCCTTTCCTGACTGCTACTCCCACGGCCTGCAGGGCTCAGCCTGGCCATCACCAGCTCTGGGAGGCGTTCGGTGGCCTCAGCCACCTTAGCAGCCTTCTCAGCTCCAACACACGACCGCTCAACAGCCACACTGTGAATGAAGCAAAAACAAGTAAACTCATAAAACCACAGCTGCCAAGGGAAGGGTAAGGACCTAGGCCCACCACCCTCCCTGCCATCCTCCTGCACTAGGGCCTAGGTCAGACCAGCCCAGGAGCAGGGACCCAGTAATCACCCAGGACCTGTGGGTGTCAGCCCGCACAGCCCTCAGCCCATCCCAAGACAGAGAGGAGAGAAAAGCAGGCTCCAGTCCCACAGGAGGAAGCCATGCCTCCCCCATCGCCATTCCCTGCCACACTTCGAGCCCCAGTCACACTCCTCGACCACAGTTCCCAGGATGGCACCCAAAGGGAAGACAGAGAAGGGGTTCCTTCGTGACCTGCAGACAACAGGCAGTGATGAATCAGGAGGTGGAGCTAGAACCCCCACAAGCAGCCCAAGCCCAGATCCTTCTCCCCAGAGCCACCCCACTGCCCTCTCTCCAGAGCATCTGCTTAACAGTCTGGGACGAACCTGGATGAGGCCAAGAAGGAAAGAGACTGTGGCCCCAACTCTCATCCCCGATGCTCTGTGTGTGGGGGGGGGGGCAGAGTGCACGTGGTCCCACCTCCCTGGCCTCAGGCTCAGCAGCCTGGCACTGGTCCAGCCCCCTCCCTTCAGCCCCGGGTTCCCAGTCCTCGGTCCCAGAAATCCCTAAAGAGCACCTGGCCCAAAGCCTCCCTATGCTTTACAGAATCGCTGCTGAGGGCATCACAGCTGGGAGCAGAGGGGACACTGGGGACGGCAGCTAGGCCCCTACTAGTGGCACTCCTCCCATGGGAACTGTTTCCACACCCTAGGCCAGACCCTGGTGGTCACAGAGGCCTCAAGGGCCAGCCTGGTCCTGACAAAGCCCAGCGCCTGGCTTGGCCTCCCTGCCACGCCCCACACTCTCACCTGTCCTCTGTTCCCACGGCCCAGGCTTGGCACTCGCCTCTGAATGCTGAAAGCCCAGAACAGATTCATCCCCAACCCGGCCCAAGTCCTCCTCTGTTCCAGCCTCTGCTGGGGCAGCCCCACTCCCCATCACACCTTGCCCTGCCCTGTTCTCAAATCCACCCCGGAGCCTGCGACACTACCTCTAAAGCATCCTCTGACCTTGGCCTGAGCCAGGCACTGGCACCTCCTGTCTGAACCTTGCCCTGTTGTGGCCACACGTGCCTGGCTATCTCTCCTGGTCCTCCCTCCGCTGCCTGTCAATTCAACATTGTCCTATTCTAGGCGCCACTCAAGCCTCCCACAGCACCATCAGCACCACGAGCCCACCTCTGCCCCACGAGCCCACCTCTGCCCCCACAAGCAGATCACTTAGCCTCTCTAAGCCACAATTTCCTCATGTGTAAAATCTACTTCGAAGGCTCCTGCGAGGCTGTGAAGCAGCAGGTACCCAACAGCTGGCAGACTGTGAGCCTGACCCCCACTCTGCCCAAGCCCTGAGGCTTCCTGCCCTGGGGAAGCTGTTACTCTCACGTCAGCCTGGGCTCCTGCTTCCTGCCTGCCCCACTGGGAGGGGCCCCGTGCAGGCCACAGCTCCTCTCTGAGCTTCCTGGTGTCGTGTTGTGGCAGGAGGCGAGCAGGAGGTGGGCTGAGAAGAGCCAGGTGGCCAAGCAAAGGGACTGCAGGGAAGGCCACCCACTGACCCTATGGTTTTCTGGGCGTCAGTTTGCTCTCAGCTCAGTAAAACTGAGATTTCTACAAGCAAGGCCTAGAGCCAGGGAGAGGAGAGAGTCCTGCCCCAGACTGGCCCTCCCGACTTTACTACCTGGAGGCTGGAGCGGCTGCCTGGGCCCATAGGAGCAAGCCTCTGGTGCACTGGGAAAGCCAAGAAACAAACGCACCAGAACTCAAATCCGAAAAGCTCAGAGCCCAGGTTGCCATGGCAACCTGCAGCCAGCTCTGCCTGGCACTCTGCCAGCCTGGGTGGGGACCGGGACTCACCAGGCATGGCTGCTCCCACCTCTGAGGCCTCCTCCTTGGGCTTGGCCCAGCTTCTGCTTGGACACAGGAGCAGGGCAAGGCCACAGAGAGGCACCTCTGCCCTGTCAGGTGGGCTGGGCAGATCAGGGCTCCCACTGCCAGCTTTCTCCTAGAGTAAAGCCCAGCCCCTGAGCCTCCAGAGTCCAGCACCACCCAGCACCCTACTCAGCATCCATTGCTCCAGGAGCCGCCAAGGCCATCAGCTGCCTGGGCCACCACAATACCCCTGCGTATGGAGAGGCCTCGGGCTCCCGTCAGGTCAGTGGCCTCTAAGCTGTTACATGGGCACCGGTAGAGGGGCAGTGAGATGATTCCCTGCCTTTCCTCACAGCTGGGTGCCAGCACTAGGGTGGCGTCTCACGTGATGTTTCTCCTTTAGTGGCACTCCCTTTAACAGATGAGGAAACAAGCTCAGAGCAATTAAGTGACTTCTCAAGGTCACAGAGCTGC